GCCAACAGCCTACCTTGGCTCTAGTTATTATTTAATCTTTGGTGAAACATTGAGTAGTCACAAGTTTTCTTTTCTATCACACTTAGACACTTGCTAAAATTCTGTCTGCCCTCTTCATTTGTCCTAATATCCATTTTTTAAAAAATGACACTAACCCCCTTAAAGTCTTACTCTCTTTGTCTTACAGGTCTAGATTCTTTGTAACAAATTTTTATTAAATAAGATAGTAAAATGTCATCATGATCACAGACTCTTCAATAAACCCAGAAACACCCATCTTATCTATTAAATAAATTCTTACAAGTTAAGTGTGGGTGCATGTATGCCATGAAGCACTTATGGAGGTCAGAAGACAAGTTTTAGGAGGGGGTTCTGTCCTTCCACCATTTGGATCCTGGAAACTGAAGTCAGGTCATAGTCTGGATATTAAGCACCTTATGCCCTAAACCTTCTCATTGGTCCAGATATCTATATATCTAGATAGATAGATAGATGGATGGATGGATGGATAGATACATAGATGATAGATGATAGATAGATAATAGGTAGATACATGGATAGATATAGATAGATGATAGCTATAGATAGATGGCAGATAGATGATAGATAGATGATAGATAGATAGATAGATAGATAGATAGATAGATAGATAGACAGATAGATAGATGATAGATAGCCAACCTGAGGGTAGTTTTCGCTGTGACTTGATAATTATACCATCACATAGAAAATCATGACTGACAATCACTGATGGTTTTCATCTATCCTAGTGACCCTTACTACTCTGGTATAGCTTTCCTGTAAAACAGGCTTCTCCAGTGAGGAAAGATTAAAAGGAGAAAGGCATCTTCATTAATTAATGATGCTTATGGAATAATAGTATACATATTAGTGCAAGAAGCCAAAATTCAAGAAGAAAATTAATTTTCCCCTAAAATTTCCATAGTTTAATTCTCACAACATTCCTTTAAAAAGCAAAAGATTTATACGATCTGAAGAGAAACCAGAGTATAAACCATCGCTCAGCTCTCAGATTGTGACTTTTCTGTACACCATCATGCAGACAGCAAATCAACATTCTCATACATATACATGGAGATGTTTTGCATATCATAATAATACATTTACAAAAAATAGAAATATAGAACCATTAATTATGGTTCTATACATTGGAGGTGTAATCAAGCCTACTAGAAACTAACATCTTACTCTGCACATGAGTTTGTATCAAAACCCACGCCCTAATGTTTGCAACATATTTAGAGTTGAAATAAAACATGTGTCATTGGCTATTTGAATACCTCAGTTAGGTATTGATATGGAAGCCCTATATTTTTTCCTAATGAGTTTCTGTGCACAGATTAGAGGCTCACCTTCTTTCACCACAATCCTCACACATATATATGATGTGACATGTACAGATTTTAAGAAGAATTTTACAGTGCTTATATCAAGATAGTCAAGGTAAGATGAAGTGTGTCATAGAGCAGTGATGCAGCTATTCAAAGAAAAAGATTATGAATGAAAATTAATGCATAGAAAATAAAGTATACTAAAGAGTTCATAAATTGTAATATGTTATTGTAATGGAAACGTGAATAAAATTACATGTGTAATGCAATGTGAATATGCTGTTTTTATATTTTAGAATTTCCTTATTAAAGGACATAATGAAATATAATAAATGAATAATTATCTTCTTAGAACATGTATCAAGGAAATCACAGAAGTAAAGTTATGATGTAGAACTCAGTACTTATCAATGCTTCATTGGCCATAACTTTCATTTCTCTGTTGTAAAAATGTTATTTGTTCCATTCTTAGTCAGTTTCTCACATGCTACTTCATTTGAGGAATCACTATGCTGTTCTATATACACTGTATCACACACACTCACACATGGACACATATTTTCCATGTAAAGTTTGATTTTGATATATACAACCTCATGCATACTACTTTAGGGAAAGTGCTTTTGCCTTAAAATTGAAAGTCAAAATGCTTTCAACAGTTATAACTGTATAAATTGCTTGATGGCTCTGTGTCAGTAAAGTAAAAAGAAAGCACTTAATAAAAAAAACCATAAAATTTCAAACCTTGTAAAATGGAATAATTTATTATTTTAATATTAATTGTATTTCTTAATAAAAGTAAAACTCAATATTCTTAAAGAGAAAGGATGAAATAGTTCCACTTATAATATAAGATAAATAGAATCATGAATTTGTACTTTACTATAAACTCAATTGATCTGTTCCTGGAGACATGATAATATCAGTTATAATTACTTTTAAGAAACAACAGTTTGCAAAAGACAGAGACCTACCTTACTTGAGAGTATGTAATCACACTTTTCCTTTGGAAATATAATGGCATTTGCAGCAGGATCTACTATCAGGGTCAGTTTATTATTCAAGGGTTTCAATTTGCTATTTTTAAAAACAAAACAAAACAAAACAAAACAAAACATGGTTCACTTCTAAGAATCAGCACTCTGCGTCTTCCTGACACATTGTTCAATGTAATAATGTGACAGCTACATGGCACAGGTGTGGAAACACAGTATACTTCAAATTGCATGTAAGAACAATTTAAGCACAATATCTGGAGTTTTATTTCATTAACAAGGGTGATTAGGCTGGAGTCCATCACAGTGTGTTTTAAGAGACAAGAGTGACATATTCTTATCAACACAAAATCAGAAAGGCTTGATTGATCTCACTCGGTATCACAGACTGTTACATGAAATACAACCTGCCGCAAAAGCAGATACTGAAAAGCTCAGTGTAAGGAGAACAGTGTGATCCACTCATATGGAGGGATAAATATGTCAAGTGAAACAGTAACCAGGATCTTTTTTTCCAGTAAATACTACTTTTATTACAATAAGCGCTAAATACATATGAAATAGATGACTCTCCCCCGTTAATTCAGCTCTCTGTTTGTGTGGGTAATATCTGAAATGATCATACCACTAAGCAGATCAGTGAAAGAAGCCAGCTCAAGTTAGAAAAAAAATGCTTGGCTTGAAACTTGCCCCTGCTGCTTGGAAATAGCACACAGCAGAAGTTAGGACCATAGCAACTGAGGATTTGGGAAACACGGCAGACAAGTAAAATAACTTTTATTTTCTAGGACAAAGAGGTTTAGTGACAAGTTACTCATAGAGTTAGTTTTGAAATATAAATGAAGGAAAAGATTAAATTATTATATTGGATTTTCAAGTTAACTGGAATCTCTTTTTAGTTCAAGAATTTCCCAAACAGGTGGAGAAATTCTTCTTGTCTTTTTGCTGAATAAGCAGATCATGCCAGATAGTTAAATGGAAGCTCCTACTTTATATATGGCTCTGTACTTATGAACTATAAAACAATTCGTCCATCAACTGTTTATGGCTTGGGAGCTCACCCATCTACTTTTCAATTATGAAGGTGCATTTTGCAGAATCAAAGAAATATTTATAGCCTAAACCCAATCTATTAGATTTCTTTCTACCAACAATATTTGAAAAGTCACAAATGATATTTTAAACTGCTTAAGCTGTGTGGTAAGCAAATGATGTTATTAAGTGAAGAAGATCAGTATTTCTGGATGGTTATGCCTGAATACTAGTTTGTGAATTTTACATCTGATCAAGTATACTGCAAAGATCACACTAACACTTGCTAGATATCTCTGGATCTTCCATGATTTAGTCATTTAGGAGCGTAATCTAAAATATACGAAACATAGTGTAATTTCAAACTATAAAATATATTCAGAGTATTCATCATTAGAATCCCCCTGCAGTGTGGGAGGTAGTTTTCTTGCTGAGAAATGTGTGAATGAGCCTCAAAATGCCTGATGAGAAACCAAAAACCATTCAATGGTTACAGAATCAGCCAAAAGTATGTCAGTTGCCTCTCCAGAGAGTACGAAGAAATGTGTCTGTAAGAGGCATTGCATACCCTGAAGTGCAGAGCTTCTGAAATCACCGTGATGCCAACATAAGGAGAATAAGGAACCAATGGTGTTGATATACTATTTATAAAAATATCAAACGTCCCAGGGGACCCGGCAGCCTCTTCTGACCTCCCAGGGCATTGAACAACATGGGTGCACTTACCTGCATGCAGACAATACATGCATACACATAAAATAAAAATAATAAGTAAAATTTAATAAAAAATTCCAAAAGTCTCCTTAAAAAAAGATTAGCTTCTGTGTCCTTTGTCATATCATATATCATATTACTTACATGAAATATTTTAAGTATGCTATTTTTAACATGAATGTTATATAACTCTTAACCCAACTGGTTATCTGCTATCTCTTCCATTTGTCCCAAGTTAGTTTTCTGGTAGGAAACCCAGATTCTGATATGCTGAGAAGCAGACTACAAATAACATGAAATCTCGTTTTACACTTGTCATTTTAAATAAAGAATGTTCAAAAATTTCAGTGTCAGTGATGTGGTTAAGGGGAAACTGGCAATTTGAAACTAAAGCTTGATTTTGTTTTAAAAGTGAGCTATCACTAAAATAATTTCTGAAATAACCAGTTGAACATCTAGGTTACCTACTTGTTTTCATGTGACAATTTACCCAAGCTGAGGTGCATTAGTGGTTGAAGCGTTCTCCCCCCCACCCCTTAAATGTAGCCTCTCACTATGAGTACCAGAGAGAGACTTGTTTAGAACTTGCAGAAGTTTCCCAAAGCAAAACCACTCTCAAGATCCTGATTGGGATGCCAGGTCTGTGTGCAGTCTTGTCCAGCTTCTGGCTAGTCGAGGGTCACTTTATTAATCATGAATGCGTCTCTGTTCAAACACACAGACACACACAGAGACACACAGACAGACAGACAGACAGACACACACACACACACACACACACAGCAAACACACAGACACACACAGAGACACACAGACAGACAGACAGACACACACACACACACACACACACACACACACACCACACAAACAACACACGAAATGCAACCCTGGTCAGAAAAAGCCTTACCTGATGGCTGAGACCGGCCGGCAGCTGCAGGAACAGTAGTGGAACTGGCAGCAGCAGGATGCAACAACGCAGCCTTGCTCAAAGGTGATACTTCTCCCTCTGCCTCTTTTTCTTTCCGCTTCTAAATCACCATAACAGCCCACTGCTTCGTATTTTGTCCCTTTTCATTCACAGAAGGTTCCCAGGCCAGGCAGCCAGCAGACACCACTTTGTTCCTGGAAGAGGCTGCCTCTCTTCTCAGAAACGCTTGGACCCCTCTGTGTGGCTCCCTCCACATTTACCCTTCAGATCAATAATGCTCTCAGAGCGGCTGGAGCGCCGCTGCAGCAGCCGGAGGCGAGCCAATGGGGGCGCAGGATCTCTTCCCTGTCATCTCCCCGCCCTCAAACAAAACACAGCGTGGCTTTGACACATCATCGAGTTGTGAAAAGTAATTGAATCCTATATTTGAAATATATCTTGTTTGTTCTTTTCCCCCCTAGCGTTCGTTGCAGGATGCTTTGAATGAATGGAAAGACTGCACATCTCTCGGGAGATTCATTTAAGGATCTCAAGAGAGGTGAAGACGAGGCGCCTTAAAAGTGAGAGAGAGCATCTGACTTAGACCTGAAGCTGTGGTTTGAAAACGCTTGAGATCAGAGAATCGCCAACCATAAGCAAAATCCTTGGGTTTCTATCCTCACTCCACTGAGGAGTTTGACTCTTTATGTTTTCTGGAAAAAAAATCAATAAACTTCATATGCCCCAAAGTTATCTCATTCTTTGCGCATTGAAAGATGACCAGAAGATAATTGGTGATAATTGTAGCCCAGCAGTTTTAGGTTACTTGTCTTTATGCTGATTTGACTCAGTCCCTGTATTGTGAGAAACTAGAAATTGTTCAGGCTATCTCCTGGTTTGTTTTAATTTGTTCATATTTATCATTGCTAGATTCCAAAACTAGTATTAATGTATTTTAATACAAGAGTGTTTAGTTATTGCTTGGAAATTTGTAATATATCTCAAGGATGCTAAAATGAAGAATACGAGTGTTGGAAATACAAGAGCAAGTCCTCCCAAATCACCCAAATATTTCATTCATAATGATCCTTCTCTGTTTTCACCATTAAAGTGATATACAAGGAATAGAAATTTGCTTAAATAAACTCAATAGAAATCATTTCTTTCTCTCCAAGCAAAGGTAATTTTATCATTTATAGATCAAGAACACAACAACATTTGAGATAATCATTTAATATGTAAGTAGAGCTGTCAAGTACATAGTCTTTATACAGTTTTAAATATATGTATAAGAATGAGCAGGACTGGTGCTCCAAAACTGCAAAAATAATGTCTTTTCACTGTCAGTGTTGAAGAAGAATAAAATTAATGTGTTTTTCTGAAATCTTTTCTGTTCCACTGAAGTAATACAAATAAGTTGATGCATTTTGTGTAGCCAAGCTTTGTGTATTGTGACAAGTTAAAATAGCTTGGGGAGGCTTTACAAACAAAACAATTTCGTTTCCTGTCCATCATGTGAAGAAGGCATGGAGAAATGTTATATTTACAACACTGTATGCTGTGTCACTAAAAAGAGTGAATGTTAACTTTATTGTAACTCACTTATGTAGCCAGTAAAAATTTGTATAGGGCAATGTCTGGCAAAGCGTGTGTGACCACTCAGATTTCCAGAAAGAAAAGAATATGCTTGTGAAATACGAATCATGAATATTTTTTTCCTTAGTTTCATCATAAGCATCTTCATTTATTTAAGTTCATTTGCTGAACACAATTTAGAAGTCATTGAATTTTAGAATATTGTCTTCTGTAGATGTACATCTGTCAGTGTGTGGCCCTGCAGATACTCGTATATATTTCATCTGGAACTTTTTTAAAAAGCAATCCTTTAATGCTTTCCCTGTCATAATGAATAAACCATTTCAAGGGAGGTAACAAGCAATCTATGTTTTAATATACTTTAAGATGAAGTGGATGTATGTTCAAATTTGCAGGCCATTGCTCTAGGGGTGGTGTCTGAAAACTATCAGAAAAGACCAGCCATCTATTTTTACAAATATACTGAAATCCAATCACACTCATTTCCTTATAGAGTGTTTAATGCTGCTATTGCAGCATCATAGCAGAAGTAATTTTCACAAGAGCTCGCAGCTCAAAGCCTAAAATGTTTACTATTCCTTCAGATAATGTGTTAATATTTTCCTAGGACATAATAACAGATGTTTAACATAGTTAACACAAATGACTCAAGTGAAGAAAAAATATATACTTGCGCATTGAGGGAATTCAGAATAATGAAAGCAATGGCATTTGAGATAGAATTCAAAGGGCAATTTCATAAATTGTAGTAAGAGTGTTATTTTGGTATTTGTTTTTTGTTTGTTTTGTTTTTGTTTTTGTCTTTTGAGACAGGGTCTCCCTGTAGCCCCAGCTGGCCTAGAGTTTGCTATGTAGACCAGGCTGGCCTGGAACTCACAGAGATCCACCTGCCTCTGCCTCCCAAGTGCTGGGATTAAGAGGCATGTGCCACCATGCCTGGAATTTTTTTTTAAGGAGGTTTTTCCAGAATTACCCAAACTTGGGAATTAACAAGCTAACTCTCAGTAGATCCACATTTCTTATATCATAATTATAAATGATGTTGTGATAGTATGAATGAGAATGTCACTCATAGTCTCCAAGTATTTGGACGTTTTGTCCCCAGTTGTTGGCGCTAGTTTGGGAGGTCTAAGAAGGTGTGGCCATGCTGGAGGAAGCATGTCACTGGGGGTGGGTTGATAGGGTTCTTAGCCTTGCCAGATCTCGAGTTGTACTTGCTTCCTGCGCCTGCTTGAAGTTATGAGAGCTTAGCTTCTGCTCCTCCTCCAGCCACCTCTGCAGACATATCTCCCCACCATCGTGGACTCTTACCCATTTGGAACTCTACACTCAAACTCTTCCTTCTAGAAGTTGCTTTGGTCTGTGTTTCTATCATGGCAACAGAATAACAACTAATATAGAGGTATTCCAAAATAAAAAGACTTGGAAGAAACAAACACATGTTACTAAGTGAAATTTGCAATCAAGAAGGCTATATATCATTTGGATGTAGCACTTCTAATCTCCTAGAAGAAGTATGTAAAGTACCACAGCAACCAGAAGATACTTATATCTGTAACATTGATTTTAACCAAGAAGTGACTACGGGCACATCTGTTTATAATTTATTAGCCAAAGAAAGGTGTAAGACATTACTCTAAGGCCTGGCAATATGACAGCATTGTATAACTTACCTGCAGAGAGGAAACCATGGAAGCAAACAAGGAACTTTTTTTTTTAATTTTTAAAAAAATTATTGGTTTTTCATGTGTGTGAGTGTTTTACAGGCCATACTTATATAAGTGTACACGTGTTGCACAAAACCTGTGAAGACCAGATGAGGGTATCAGATCTCCAGGAACTAGAAAAAACTAGGTTTTTAGGTACCATGTGGTTGCTGGTAAACAAACCCAGGTCCTTTAAACTTCTGAGCCATCTCTCCAGTCACATCAGTTTTGAAAACTAATAAAATCTATCAAATATCTTCTAGTCTTAACCAAAAGATGAGGTTGCCCACCAAGTGTGTTTTGTATATCTAGGGGCTAGAATTCTTCCTCTCCATTTTACCATTTCATATGTTGTATTTATTTTGTAATTTAAATGATATTAGACAGAGAAATATAAAACAAATGCAAAAAAATGAGTACAAATCATTGTGAAGATTTATTATTCATGGGTCAAAATAGTAGGAATAAAAAATGGGGTCTTTATTTCAAATCTTAAATGTCATGCAAGTGTGTATGTACTGTTCTCAAAGAGAACAGATCAAAGACTTGTGCACCTATAATTCCTATGCCAGAAAATCTCCAGAAGACCTAGAAAGATGCTTGAAAAGATGGGCAGTAGTTAATGAAATGAATTGTTGTCCCTGGGTGTGAAGTCAAATTCACTGCTGGAAGGTGCACATGGAATGGAGTCCAATCCCCTCCTCCCGCTGTCTTTCTGACAACCTGAGGCAAGAATTCTCCAAAACTGCCATTTGGAAAACCTTACTGACTTTATTGGACTTGCAAACTGAGCTTGGGGTGCTGTTTTCCTTATAGAAGAGCGGGCACCACCCCATTCATTACTGTGCTCGAAAGTCCACACCCAAACATAAATCCTGTGGCTTCCCCACAGCCACATGAAATTGTGAGAGACCAGCCTCGTGGTTTTCTGAGCTTATATATCCAGCTCCTCCACTTCATGCAGCTAAGGACTGGGTGGGAGAAGTAATAGGCTTGACTCCTTCTATAGAACCTGAGAAGGAGGTGGGACTCTAGCTTGTCATCATAGGGTTGGAGGAACTTCCTAGTCACACTAGGTTTTTAGGCAATTATACAGAATTGCTCAGAAAATTGTTTTTCCACATTGGCATAAACTGTGTTCATGGATGCAATCCAGATAGATAGATAGATAGATAGATAGATAGATAGATAGATAGATAGATAGATAGATAGATAGATAGATAGATAGATAGATAGATAGATAGATAGATAGATAGATAGATAGATAGATAGATAGATAGATAGATAGATAGATAGATAGATAGATAGATAGATAGATAGATAGATAGATAGATAGATAGATAGATAGATAGATAGATAGATAGATAGATAGATAGATAGATAGATAGATAGATAGATAGATAGATAGATAGATAGATAGATAGATAGATAGATAGATAGATAGATAGATAGATAGATAGATGATAGACAGAAAGGTACATAGAGAGATAGAGTCCCTGTTGGGGAGGGGGGAAGCTGCTGCTGTTTGGAACCCTAACACTTGTTCTTGCAAGGTTATCACTTTACCAGCTGAACTGTTCTCCCAGCGCCCCCAGGAATAGATGTTAGGTGCATACACACACATATATATGTATATATATATGTATATATATATATATATACATGCACACACAGTGATGATTTTCTTCAGTTTTAAAGGAGTCTGACAAGAAAAAGCATACAAACTGCTCACTTGAGGAATTTATCATTAGCAAAATAGTGTTTTGTGACTATA